GTTTGTTCAATAGCTTCAGATAATTTGAAATATAAATTAAAGATATTATTTTCCTTAATGATAGAACTCTGTAGGAACTAAATCTTCTACCAATACTTAATAGGTCTCGTGGATAGTATTGTAATGTACACAGTAACCCAAAATGTCTGAAAAAAATCCGCTAAGAAAGTGTTATAATTCTCAAGAGTTCATCACACGTTTGAGTTCAAACCTGAACCCTGAGGTATCTGTCGACAGATTCATATTCATATTCATTTGCCATATCATTAACCAGACATAACCGTAGTTTGAGTTCTATGTGTTAATTATACCAGAAGTTAGAATATGCAATGCATCAGCCTGCACAGTTCAAGGAATACTTGACAGCTATTTTATAAGTTCATAATGGGGATCTTACGCATGAACGCAGTATTTTCCCAAAATATAATTGATGAGGAAAAGAAAGCATACAGATTTTTCACAAAATAAATTGGCTCAATTAATAACAGGTAGTCCCTCCAAGTTAAGCGAATTTTCAGCACAAATTCAGCATACTTATTTCATTCTCTGATCTAAACAAATAAAACTTACCGATTTTACTCAAACTCTCACTTAGGTACTAACCTGTATCCCATGCTGCTTGGAGACTTCGAAGATCGGACGAGAACGGATACTTTCAGCATCATGATGCCTAGGGCCCAGTTTCGGATCCCAGCAGTGCAGGATTTACTTATAAGCTACATAAGCTATAGCCTAAGGTCCCCCAAAATCATATTTGGCACTGACAATACAATATATGGAATTATATAAAGCGCCCCATATCTCAAATAGCTTAGGGCCTTATCAAGTCTAAATCCGGGCCTGAATCCCAGAGAAGCCGTTTTCAAGTATTTATGTATGCGAGTTTAAGGCGCAAATATTTTTACGTGTCTCGTATCTTTGTGACATGGTGCTCTTATATTACACGGAGAGCCGAAATCCTCTCGGCAGCTTTGGTGGTAGAAGAAGAGGAATGTACTATTGGAACAGCTCTGGCCCGATTTCACTCTTGAGCCACATTACTAGTGCTCAGATGTCTTTCCACTTGACCTCTGGCGAGGGTATTCCAGTCCAATTTAATCTCTGTATCTCATTTGCACCATCCTGGCTACAGGATAACGATTCTAAATATCCACTTGCAGTTATTATATAACTGTCCTGAAGTTGCCACAATTTCTTCATATTCTCTGGAGTTAAATCCTATCAAACATACGTGTATGGAGTTGGAGAAAGAGTAGGGAAATACGGCATTTCTTTCGAGAGCCCTCTACTAAAAGCAGTTCTTACGGAGAATTAGTACAAAACAGGACATTCTTATGTGAAAACAGTTACTTGAAACATGCCAAAGGGCATGAAAGTGTAAATTTTGCTAAACGATACCCAAAAAAGCATTAAATGTCCCGTTATTTTCGTGTTTTTATTAAATATAGCCTGTTTGTTGAGTGTGTCCATATACTTATGCATGTTAATTTTAGGAACTTTCTGAAATTTTTTTTTAACCCAAAACGCCTAAATAATGTTTTCCAAAACAAGCAGATTTTAAAAATGATGATCAATAGTATACCTGAAAAAAATAAAAATGCTATTATTATACACTTAAAGTTATTTTACTGGCATTTACTAACTGATATTTGCAAGTAAAACTGCAAAACATGAGTGTCCGAAAACAAATGAGCCACAGTAAACAGATCTCCCTTCGTTGCAGTGATTTAGGCAAACTCACGCTTCATCAAAATGGCGACAATGTATTTCCATTTTTATTGCCTTTCATTTATCCCTATAGTTTTAATACAAGGTTCTATAAAATTGCATAAATTCTATAAATAAAAGACTTTGCAATTGGCTTCTGTGTCAGCGTATTTTCTCTTGTTACCAACGATGTAACTTTAGAGACATTATAAACAGGATGTACCATTTTCAGGCATTCGTTTGGACTTTTCTTTCCATACAGAAGTAATGACTGAAGGTTCTTCCCTTCCTAATTAATAATGTTGCTTATTTTTCAGTTAGAAATTTTAATACCAAACATTTTGCAACGTTTCTGAATTATCGAATATTTCTCTTCAGAAAGTGTAAAAACACATACTTCAATCCACAGCTTATTTAAGTGCAACATTTCGAAAAAGAATTCAATTAAAAGACATTAATCTTTTCAAATAATAAGCTTCTACTAGAAAACTTAATTCTAAAACATTTACTCCCCCCATTCTTTATCGAAATCGTTCTAAAAAATGAATAAAATTATGAACACCCTCTGTAATTGTCTGCTCCCCTTCTCGCGAGACTAATAATAGTCTTCTCCCGTGGTATACCCTAAACAACACTTTCGGTAGTAAAAAAAGATGGCTAAACACAATTATACACATTTTCTTAATAATTTGGATATGAAATTTTGTTAAAAATCTCAATGGATTCGGTTATTCTCAGGCAATGAATTTTTGTCATACAGGAATGAAACTTTTTGTGTTTTATTTTCTTAACAAGTACAAAAATTTTCTAAATATTTAAGTACTGGGATCGGACGAACGTGTAAAATGTTAGATTTAAGAATACAAAAACGCGAATATTAGCAACATTTAAAACATTTTTGTAACCCAGAGTATATGTGTACGAGTAACGGTTAAGAAAATAAAGGCCTGGGTATGGACTTTTGTGGAAAAGTTGTATAATTCTTCTATTTATATGTTTTTATTAACATACTATTTCAAATTTAACTACATAGTGAAATCTGCTCAAAATAATAATGCATGGTTGCTGACAAACTTGATTTCCTGTTGAAGTGGTCACCTTAGACAATATGACTATCCACAAAGTTCAGTAGTTTCTGAGAACGTTTACTGTCACCCAAGAAATTATGATCACTTTCAGGAGCGGATAGGTCATTATGAGAAGTTTTTCCATTTGAAACCATTAATGTTATCCTAGATATAAAATGTTCATCTTGCTTAAAATTGTCATTCTGAACTGTGTAATATAAATTGTTCTGTAAATAACTATTGCATATAAAAACTTCTGTTCTAAAACTTAGGGAACTATTGTGATTTTATTTTAATAGTTAATATAATAGACAAGTCAAGAAATTATTTGGTAGGCAAGTGAATGTCTTAAATTTTCTATTATGAAATTGCTATTTATGCAAACTGTGATATTTTAATAAGCTTCAAGTGTTAAATACTTGTGACTGAATATTATGTCTAGTTAAAGAAATTTTTAGCACCTCAAAAGTTTTATTCAGCTTATCTGATGCTTCTACACCCTGGTATCCTATGTCTTGATAATTTTGTAGCCTCCTAAATTCAGCCATATTGGCTGCCCTAGCTTTGGCACTAGCCTGAGCATAACAAAGAAGTCATTATTTATTGTATTATATGACGTGACTGCAGAAAAATGTTTAATACCCACATGAAGTATGTAAATACAAAATTTATTTCAACTAGCTCACCAGCTAATGATCACGCAGTAAGACCAGTGAACTCAAAATTTTGAATACATTCAACTGTAAGAGTTAGTCTGGCATTTATGACAGGGTGGTTTTTTCCCCTTTCTCATATGAATATAAATACAAGAGAATCTCTCTTAGAAAACAGTCCATGGCACATTTGTGTGATTTGCTAAAAACAGTTACATTCAGATAAAATGTAGCTGGAATTAATCAGTATACGCTGTTTAAAAACTATGATGATTAATTTACATAATTCACTTGTGATTATCTTCAGTTTGATGTATAAATGATGTTTTTGAATTATCATAATAATAAATTTTTAAAAAAATCAGTCCATGTTTTCAGTTCAATTTTAAAATAATATACTCAGAAATGAACTGTTCTAAAAATTAGGCATTAAATTATAAGTAAATGAATATGCCATAATATATACTTATAAATCAACAATGTTACTAGGCAGACTGAAGATAAACCACATATCTAAGTCATTCAAGTAATACACAAGTTTTATTTATAATAGAATTTTAATGATATATCATGGACTAGCCCATAACACATTCAAGAAACATATCAACATTTATTATTAAAAGAAATATTTTTAAAAATTTCATATAGAAATTAAAATATTAAAACTAAAATAAATAACAATTCTCAGTATTAAACATACCAGACCAGCTGGCTTAAAATCAAAATGCATTAAAATTAAAAAATGTACATACACTACAATTTTTAACACATTGTTGCTCATGCCTCTAGCCACAGTTAAATGCAAACACATTATGTATAAGCTAATGTTACAATTCTCATAAATAAAAAATAATTTCAAAACCTCTACTAATTATATTATACTTTTTTCCAGAGAAGCAAATCATCTAAACATTTTAACTATCTATGCAACTCAAAATTTACAAAAATGAAAAAAGAGGGATAAAGAATAAAGCTATATTTCTAATACAAGGTTTGAGCAACAAGAGTTAAAAAAAATTCTTATTGTACTTTTCAGCAAAAATAATGTAAAAAATAATGTAATGCATAGTTCTTAAATAAAAATTGTATTAATATAATTTACAATACATAATTATTTATTACACAAAACATTTTTTAAATAAAATCTATTAAAATATTAAAACATACAATTCTTTCTCGTACATATTTTGCTTAAATAAAAGTGCATCAATTAAATTCATACCTACAGAGAGTGCAAGATGTTAAGTACAGTATAAAGGATAGTAAATGCTTTTATTAAATATTTGAATAATTCTCTAAAGAATATGATTTCATAATCTGGACAGTTCTCTTAGTGCAGACATTAATTACTTTCTCCAGATGTGTGACATATGGTTTATATAATATAATAATACATTTAAAAAATATGTCTTACATACATAAATTTATGCATTCAAGACCACATTACATGCAAGACACAATAAATATCTTTAATTCCCTAAAATATTGATAATACAAATGCAAATAATATATTATAGCCTACTAATATACATCAAAAATTCAAAAAGGACTTATTTGATAAAAATATTAAAGATCATCACCCAGCTATGAAGTTTTCATATAAATAATTTTATTTCTAAAATATTAATCTTCACAAAGCAAAATGCATAAAAAATATTTTGGAAGCATCACAGGATAAAATTTTTTTAAATCCTTTTATATTACAGGTTGCATTACACAGTGTCTTTCTTTAATATTACAAAATTATCAACATATAATGGACACTAGTTATTGCATCAACAATTGCCAATTATGAAAATACCAACACAGATCTCAAACTATTAACTCCTATTCAAAATCTAAACATTACAATCATATTCATTCTTCAGGCTTGTTCTTCAAGAATTTAATGTTTATTAATGTGAAATCTTCTGGTAAACACAGTATTACAACTTACAACCCTTAGCCAGCCATCAGCTGTTCAGGATAGCAAGTTAAATGCTTCTTTACAACGTAACAGTACTTCAACAATTACAACAATACCATAATTTTGTGATAATTTAAATTTTACATTACCATCAGTTACAATGAATTGGAACATAAATGAGGCTATAATAATTCAGCTTAATCAAGTGAGTTTTACCTATTATCCAAAGTTTGAATTCTAAAATATAAAGAGATCAAAAATCAATCTAGCAGTTTTTAAAGCTATGAATTATTTAAATGAATGCTATAACACACAAAAGCATATAGTTAAAAAATTTAAATACCTTGCGTTAAAGTAATTCCACTTTCCTTTTGATAATCAGAATACATTTCAGCCTTTTTAGCCTTTAAATACATTTAATCATGTGTCCTTACATAAAATAGTTACAATTTTATGTAACAAATATACACACATTTCTCTAAAGTTACTTCTAAAGAGAAATTCTTTTAGAAGATTATATAGAATACTTAATCTCCATGGCATTTTGATAAATTGCAATATCATAGACCAATACAGACATCTACTGTACAAAAAAGGGAGAATGGCTTTCAAAATTTCTTATGCATGAAATACAGTCATAACAACATGAAATATAGTCACAACAAATAAAGTCCCTCACACAAATTTTAATACATCAGCAAAATTTCCTGATGAAATACTAAACAGCAGCATTTGAAGAATTTCTAAAGCAGTTGAAAATAACAAAGTCCAAAATATACTTTTTTAATGTTTATAAATATAAAAATAAATGTATGTTATCTGGTTTTACGTATCGTAATTTTTTAAAAACTGAAAATGCACTTAACTGGAATGAAGCTTATTCTAAAGTGATGAAACTCCAATTAAATAGCATATTGTCCCAAATAAAGAAAATATAGATGATTTAACAGGCTTCCATGTCTTTAAAATTTATACAATAGGTGCTTTATAAACTGGAATCAGAAGTATTTAATAATAACTTCACACTTAACAAACATCTCTTTATAGAACATTCATTTTCCAGCACCAACAGCAACTCAATGCAAAAATTATGATTGATATTATGCAATACAAAATATAAAAAATTAATTAATTAATTAATTAAAATAAAAATAAATCTATCCCTAATTTATGAAAATATTCAAAGACCAACACTTCAAAATAATTTTAACTCAATAAAGAAGATAATCTAAATTGCATTTCAAAATATTTTAACTAAAAAAGAAGATTCAAACATAATTAAAATGTATAATAATTAAGTTTTAGCAATTTTGGGGGATATTCATAAACTGATTATATTACATTTTGTTTCTGATAAATTATTATGTAATACATGGTGGATAATAAATAATATTATTTAATTACTAAAGCAAAGTATCAAAAAACAATTATTATGCCAAACAAGAAATTCCTGTTCCCTACTATACAACATTCAGCATTTATATTCTCTCAAGTTAAAAATTATGATTCATAAAATCACATTTGTTAATAAAATGCTGGCTATTTGAGTAGATGTCACTTAACAATGAATGAAAATGATATAATAGAAAGATCTCCCATTTTCCACTTGAATTGATAAAGAGTGAATACTGTGAAATGACTTGCTTGTGCAAAAAAACATATTACAGTAAACCACTGCCAAATGTGCTTTCGCATGTACATATGATCTTAATTGTCTTCAATTGTCAAATGCAAGGATTTCAACTATACATGGTAGACTGCAGAGCATCGGCTGCATTGTGATAGTCCTCTTTAATGACTGACTTTGTGACTTCACTCATTAAGGAAGTTAGACATTACTTAGAACAGCAAAAACTAAGCTTTAAAGTTCTAATTCTCAGTAACGCTCCAGGATACTGTACTGAAGCCCTCACCACATTGCCTTGAAATAAAGAGGTTTCATTCCTTCCACCAAACACTTGATCCAATCTACATATCAAGCAATCATAAAAACATTCAAAGCCTATTATGTCAGGCATGTTTACTGCAAATAAAGCACTACACATTAATGTCATCTGGGAAGCAATTCAACATAAGCCACTGCACAGAAGTGATTAAACTCTCATAAGACTAAGTGAATTCATCAACAATGAATGCTTGTTGACATCAGGCCAGTTGTCTACAATTTTAAATGATCTCCATCAACTGAAAATGAAGCGAAAGAAATTGTACATATTGCAAAAGCAATAGGCAGCAAAGGACTTTCAGGTATGGATGGAAGAAAAATAAGGAATTAATCAAGACTGACAATTGCAAAATGAGAAATGAAGAATTGGATAATCTTATAACACCAGCCGATGGTGAAAGGAACAATAGTGAAGAAAGAGCCTTTAGTGTAAATTACACATTATTTGCTTAATTTGAACTATAAATCCTTTTTTTTTTTTTTCCCCATAGAAAGTTAATGTTGCAGAAAGCAATTTTGCTGTACATGCAAAAATCAGAGGCTATTTAAAAAAATTATTCTATCATGTACCTACTTATTAGGCAGTAATAGAAATCCTTTCAATTAACATTTGTTTCCTTTTCCTCTTTCAATTACAATAATATTTAGTGAAATTTTCTATTAAATCAGTATAAATTACACATAATAGCTTAATCCGAACTATACCTAACCATAGAAAGTTAACTTTGCGGAATGTATTTTTGCTGTACATGCAATGTGTTAATGATGTAACCCTCCGACATTCAGCAAGGGTTTACTATACAGTGAAATTCTAACTGAATGATATCAAAAACAGATAACAAGTGCAGCATGCATACATCTTTACGCAAACTGATTGTACAAAACTCAAAATTTATATCCGAAATTCCTGATAAAATTGCTTTGTAAAATCCTCTATTAGTGAAAAGTTAGAATCACCCATGACAATATGGTCCCACTAAAATGAGATCTTGTAAACATATGATTTTCCACATTACTATACCGCATTAATCAATTTTCCTACTTAAGTTACACATAAAAAATATTAAATTATAAATAACAAACATAAAAAATTGGTTGTTAATGAAATAACACATATAAAAATTAATTTGCTTATTAGATTCCTCTAAGATATTCCCATCAATGACATCAATTTTAGTGAAATACTATACAAATCATATAAATTTATTTTTAATTAATGAATGAGCTTCAATCAAACCAATAATGATTTGCACCATGCTCAGGAATACTAAGGAGTAAATGGAAACTGAACAGATAAATAAAATAGAATAGTAATTTAAGAAATCCAAAAAAATAATTTAATTACCATTACAAAATCTTTAAGGGATGTTTTAGGGATATAAATATAAATAGTTCATTCATTCATTAATTTCATCTGAAGTGCAACTTCAAAACTATTTTTAAAATGTCCCTTATCTAAAATAAATATGTGAAAATTAATATTCTTTTCAATATTCAACTCGCAGTAAGATTTAAGAAATAAAACAATTTTCTAAAGAGTCCTCTTTCGAAAATTTAGTTAAATAAGCATCCTAAGTGCTCTTTGCTCAGAATATTATATATGAAGTTTTAAGTCCCTATTATGTAAAATGTAACTAAGAGATAATGAAAAACTTTACATAAAGCTTCATATTCATTCCAATAAATAAATACTATATTTCACTTAAATAGCGTAGCATACAATTTTCTTGATGTCCATCTGCAATAAATGACAAATAAAATCATTATGAGCTAGAATTATGCAAATTCTTCAATTATTCAAAGGTATGGCACAAAAATTTTGCTTTCCATACATTCATGATCACCATCTGTTTTACAAAGCTTATAAATTTTTTGAACTAAATATGCATTTAAAACATAAATATGCAATTATTACTGAAAGTAAGCATCATAATCTTGCGATAAAAAATGGTATATGTTTCTCTTTACAAACTTTTGAATCTTAAATAATTAATAATCAAAAATTTATTTCAAAGATTTCACATTCTTTTAAATAAATGAGTTATTAGGTCCAAAAATAAGTATTTTCTCTGATTTATACATGCAGGCATTTAAGTAAAAAAAAAAAAAAAATCAATAACATCTACAGCAATATGAAAAAAATAAAAACACACCATTTGATATGGAATGTTGCAACAGCATTTTAGCTTTTATAAAAAATAAACTAAATTTTCAATGAAAAAGATGTAACACAAGATATAAAAAAGAAAAAAGCACTGAATAATCAGCATATCACATAATAAACAAGTAGTAAATACAAATGGAACTATTATACAATCAGCAATATCTATTAGCTTTAAGTAATATGCAAATACACAATTACAATATATATATAATAACAAATTACTGTGAAATCTTGATTAAACGTACTATACAAAAATAGCTGAATTTCACGAACATTAAAATAGGAAGTAGTGGCAGGCTGCAAGTAAATAAATAAATAAATAATAATAATAATTTTCAGATGTATTGAAAATTAACATATAAACATAAAACATTTTTCTAAACTAGTGTTTAAACATCTAACTGTGCAGCTCTAATTCCAAGAAAAAAATTTTAACTGCATTCCAAACTTGACTTTTCATACTATATTTTATATATAAATGTCTACATATTATTGATTATTTTAATTTAATTAAACAGACAAGCTTAATACACTGATAAAGTCTGCATTTAATTGATAGCAAGATATTTTTATCACATATGCTCAATGTGGAAACAATATTGTAATCCATATAGATTTTTTCCAATACAATTTGATATTATCATTTTTTACATAACAATTTTATTAGCCTAAAACTATATTAATTGTCGTTAAAATATTCATTACTCATTTCCAAAAATATTCATTAGCTGATTTTTTTTAATTTAAAGAATACTTTCACATTAATAAAAAATTTAACAAATATAAATTTACATAAAAAAATAGTTTGAAGAACAAAAATAGTACAAATAAATTTTATGTTTGGCAGTATCTTCATTCAAAAGATTACTTCACAAGAAAAAATTCAAAAAAATTTGAAAAGCACTGCTAGAAAAATATAATTTTCTATTAAATCAGTAAATATTAAAAAAAAAAAAACATTTTCTTAATTAATAATATAATCATTCAACCAGGATTTCACAGTATTAATCTTCACACAACCTATTCCTTTTTACTAGCTTCAATTGCTCTTTCGTTGGTGTCAATAATGCTTATATTAATGCTCGCAATAACCATTTGTAAAAGGCTTATGAAAGTCTTGACAATAGCAATCGGTGTGGAAATATACAATATCAGGTAGAAAAGTCCAGTTCCAAGTACTGTAATAAAAATTTGAAATATAATGCATGAGAATTATGAAATAATGACAATTGCATGTTATAATGGTCACCATGAAAGAAAATTACCACCTTTATGATTAATTAATCACCAAAATTGACCACTGACTCAAAATGAACCTTAATTATCAGTCACCTTAAACAAAAACCTATATTTTCAAGAAAAGGATTTTACATACCAGACACACTGAAAATGCATATTCATCATTCTTTTACATGTGAATACATTATAATTTTTTATTTACTATGAAGTAAGAAAATAATGCAGTATTCTTTTTTTTAAAATTTTTTTACCTTGTTATACAGTACAAAGTCCATAATCCGGACTCATTGGGACTTTGGTGATTCCGGATTAAGGTTTTTTCCGGATTATAGATCATCAATTTAAATCTGGTAAGATGGTATGCAGAAATTATACAATTAAAAATATGAAACCGTAATTTATGAAATAAAGAGCAATTATGATCTAAAGAGTATCAAATTTTACAAAAAAAAAGCTTAATATTTCTTCTATTTTGTGAAGCTTGACTTTCCTTCGGTGCCATGTGCTCCTACGCATGCACAACAAACTTTCTTCTTTTTATTTAATTACAGATGCATTTCCTCCACTCCATAGAGAAAATATTTGTTTACTTTATTAAACATTTCTTTCAATGCACACATGCATAAAGTGCACATAATGTATGCACATTCTTTACACGCATGCATAAAAAAAAAGTTTGTGGCTTTGAGGTCCAGATTATAGATCATTTCGGATAATGGAGGTCTGGATTATGGACTTTGTACTGTACAATATATACAAAATTGTCATGAAATGCATCTATATCAATGATTCTCAACCTGTTTTGCTCCATATACCCCTTTCACCACTGCTAGAAGATAACTTCCCTTCTCCTTTCCAAAATTTGAAAAATGCATATATTTACTTAGATTTAGATTATTTTTAAAGTGTTTTATAAATTAACCCTCCCCCAAAAAAGTATAGAAAATGTTGATACATACTAAAACTTGGATATATATAATTTTTTATATTCATAAAACTAAAACTAAATACATTTTCTTACTACTTTCAGGAAGAAACCATCCATTAAATGGAATAAAAAAAAAAGGTTAAAAATGTGCTAAGTGACAACTAGTGATAGGGATAATTACATAAGTGAGGTTTGCTCACATCACTTAATAAAACAATCCAAAGATAAGCAGATGCTAAAGGCAAAACTGTAGCAACAGACCTTTCATTCAAGTCTTTTCATTCAGTGTGAAAGGAATACTAAGAGAATTTTCAGCAGGATTTGCTGAGAAACTTACGAATGTTTTTTTTTGTTGAAGTACTAAACAAAGATATAAGAATTCTCATGGAAAGATCATGCAATACATGCAGGATGAATCAACTAGTATCTATGCAGATTATTGGTAGCATAGAATACACAGCCTATTTGTCACAGCTCAAATATTTTGCTATTGCTATTATTTCGTATTTTTGCCATACCATTATTATTTTGATATAAATGTTTATATTTACCAGACAAATGTGAATTATTTGTAAGCTTAATATTTCTGAAAGGTTAACAGAAGTAGCAACATTGTACTTCAGATGTAATTGGGGCTACAGTAAAAATGTTGCTTTAGAATTTCTTCAATGGCTATGTGAATAATTAACCACTCAAAAACAAAAGTAAAGAAAAAGTTTTGTTATCAGATGAAATGTAAATAATAAATTGCCTAATGTCAAATAGTATCCCTTTTTATTATTAAGAAAACTTAATGCTGTTAATAACAAATACAGTAAGTATAAGAATAATTTTCTTACACTTCTTTCCGTAATGGCTTTTATTATTTCAGTGAATTTTCTATTCACTGAATTATTTTCTATTCAATTAATTTCATATGTCATGAAATTAACATGAAATGAAAATAAATTAAACACAATATTATTAAACATTACTATGCAAATTTTCAATATAAATCCATAATGCTAATTCTAACTTCATGAGTAATTTTTGCTAAGCTTTAATATAAATACTTTTTTAAACTTTAATATTAAAACACCTCAAGAAATAACTATGCCAACATCAACATCCAATATATGTTGTTAACAAATTGGGTCCATGACCTCACACCAGAAGTTAATCCTATAACTCAGACTTACTAAAATATCAGTTATTAAGGGTTCATAATAACTGATACCATAACCTTTTCTAATCAGGCTTCTATTTTTTCATTTTTATAAAGCTCAATAAATCTGCTCACAAAAAAATGTCAAAAGATGTTTCCAACGACCTGCTGCTCACAATGCCATTCTGATGGGCTTTCTGCCACAGGGCTGACTCCAAGCATAAGCAATATAAGCACTCACCTAGGGCAGTGGTCTCAAACTGAAACTGTGCCGACTACACAATCTAAAAACAGCTAACTGGCTAGATTTTTTTTTCAACAAAATGAAAAAAAATTATTAACACATAAATAAATTAATTAATTTTAAATTTGACTTACTAAATATTATTAAAAATATATAACAATAATAATAATAGCATAAATGAAAAAATTCAAATTTAGTTTTATTTTCTATCTGAGATCTAAAATGTGGTACCTACAAAATATTTTTGTTAGTAATACTTTTGTAATTCAAACACATTCACAACTAAGTATTAAATTTTTAGAATGATGTTTATTTTAAATAATTTTAATATGATTCATTAATCATTAAATAACCTACTTTAAACTAAAAACAAAAACTTCCTAAATTTTCAAAGAAAACCTCCCAAGTGGGGCAAAACTTGGCAGTAAATAGTTACAACCTAGTCAACTTCTCTTATTCATTAAACTTTTTTCAATGCATAAATAAAAATACATATATTTGTATGCAAATAATTATATATATATTTTTTTTCATACTACAGCTTGACACTTGAGGATACTTTGATTCTGATAAAGTTTCTAGCCTTCATCAGTCAACAGGTTTCTTTTCTTATTAATGTTCAAAACTTCATAACTGAGTGTATTTACATTTTGACAAGTACAAATGAAAGTTAATAAAACTTATATATTCAAAACTTTGAATAATATATAAACCACACTGTAAATTAATTAGCTCTATTTATAAATTGTACTGATTGAAATAAATATGTAACTGAAATGTATTTGTGGGCCACATAAAATTGTTCTAGGGGCTCCTGACAGTCGGCAGTTTGAGTCCACTGGCCTAGGGCATCAGTTTTTGAAGGATGCTAGTTAAGTTCCTTTCCCAAGTCACAGTTAATTAAAGCTATTTCCACTTATTATTATTTCCACATATTATTAATATGTTTAATCTACATGAAATCTTAATTGTGATACCAGATAAAAGTGCAGGAGCCTGCATATTTAGCTGGTGCAGGAGAGCTGTTCTGCCACATTCTAGTAAAATTCAGTAACTTTATCAGGACTTGTTTTTCTCTTTATTTGCTTTGGAAACATGAATGGTCCTGAATAGGAACAGGGAGCTTACTCAAGCTATGTTCAGGAAGGTGTGAAGTAGACAACACAAGCAGGAAGGGTATACGAAACGCTTTATTTTCAATACTTTACAGGTATATCCGAAACTTCGGAATACAGAGACCAACCACTTGTGGTCTGAATGTAAGAATATAAAAACTACTAACTAAAACTCTAACTAAAAGCTAACTTTGAATTAGTATACAAATGTCTAGCATTAAGACTGGCCCTTATTTAAAAAAGTTACATATGTAGTACGCCGAGCTGCTAAAACTACGATACGTCTGCAAATATCAAGAGGGCTAAACCTCTGGCCTTAAAGGCAACCGGCAACAGAGTGAAAACTCTAAAACTACAGTGGCAAGCGGCTTGCTTCCTATAACTCCTTCCCTCTCTCTTGGCAAAAAGCCACAACTTAAGTACTTGGTGTTAGCAAGACAATTTGCATAAACAAGTTAAAGCATTTAATTCTGGCCGGAAGTAGAAAATAAGAAGTGATAGTACAGTTTTAAAATAAAATAAATGTTAGTACAACTTAGGATCCTTACAACTTCAAAGTTATTTTAGTACCTCTAAATATACAAGGTTCATACACATTTCTGCACACGGAAATTAAGTACTTTTAAGGACCATTAATGAAAAAAATTAAGGACCTATGAGCAAATGGGAACTGAATAAATTCAATTAAAAATATTATTCATGCTGAATTTCACTTTTGTAATACCATCCTAAAAATGAAATAGATCCCTTAGTATGCATTATTACTAAACATGAATTAATTAACATAATTATTAATAAGTTTGAGAATAAAATAAACTTTATGCAATTTATCAAGTAGCTTTAAAAATTTTACACTTATAACAGTTGGACATATTTGAAAGAAGATAAGTGACATTTACGTTTTACTAACAGTTAGCTTTATGTTGATTTTTTTTATATTCATTTTGTCACATACTTGGTCAGTCTAGACGTTTATAAATAGCAGGTAAATTTTATGTCAAACGGCATAGTTTAAAATGAGAAGAAAGATCATAATCAGCATGATTCATAACAAAAGACTGAATGTTGTCACCACTGCTGCTTGTTTAGAGAGAGAGACCTGCTCATTAGAACAAACCTGAAAGGCCTGACGTAGGCACGGTTGGCAAGTGTTGAAAGTTAGTCAGGCTCTGTTTGATGCAGTTAGTGTCATAGCTTCATGTACAGTTCCAGGGATTGTAACCCTGTTGATATACTTTAAGGTTCCAATAAGCCATTAAAGCACCAGAGGTGATGAACTGTTTTGTATTATTTTAAGTCTCACTTGATGCAAAGAAATACTTTTACTTCAATTTTTACATTTTTGTATTTTATCTTGCGACCACAGTGAGTATTAATGAAAGGCAATAACTCGCTTTTATATGTACAGATAATTTTTAAGGGTAAGCAGTTATAAATAATTAAATTAGGTAGTTTGATAATCTTAGTCATTATGGATTTACATGGCCACTATTAAATTTTATTTTTTT